ACACACTGAGACTGACACACACTGAGTCTGAGACTGACACACACTGACACACTGAGTCTGAGACACACTGAGACTGACACACACAGACACACACTGATGCACTCTGGGAGTGCTGTGTATGGAGAGCAGCAGCTCTTGCACTGTCTCTGGGCTCCTCTCCCCGAGCTCCTGGGAGCAGCTGGGCAGGGCACCAGAAGTCGGGGTCACAGCTGGACAGTTGTCCAGTTTGCTGGCACTGGGCCCCTACCCAGTGCCATACAGGAGGAGGGTGATGTTCTGCAGTCAGGAATTTAAGACCGATTCCTCTGGGGCCCAGGGGACTGGGCCCTGCAGAGTCCTGTTTCTTGCCCGCTGTTTTTCCACGCCTGTGTGGACAGACCGGGGCGCCCCGATGTGCCCCATCTGTCTGCGCGAGGCGAACCCCACCCCCTCTCTCTCTCCCCAGCGAATGCGATGAAGAACAGGAAGCCCAGCCTCCTGCTGCCCAGAGGATCGCAGAGCACCCACATGGCGCTGAGGGGTCAGACCTTGGAGCTGGAGTGCATCGCCGAGGGGCTGTGAGTCCCTCTGTCACGCCTGCACTCACTCCATAAACCTCACTCTCTCTCACTCTCGGGATCACTCCTCCTCCAGTTCTACTCATGTGTTTCCTACGCGGGAACAGTAAACACGGTTTCAGACATTCCCAGTACAGACACATTATTGGATATTAACAGACATCACGTAATCCGCACTGTAAATCATCACTGGGAGACAGGCTCAGGGTCCCTCGGGCTGTGACAGGAGCTGATACACTGGGCTGCAGCTCTATTGAGTTTCCTCCCCCAGTAGGAGCGGGAGCTGTTCCGATTCTGGCGGGGGTGGGAATTCTGGGATTCGATGCGTTATCTTCGGAGAGACGGGCCGTCCTTCGCTCTCTCGCCTCCTGGAGCCTGCGCTGGGCAGGCATCGCCGTCTCAAGGGTGCGGGCGGAGACTTGTGCGGGGAAAAAGGGGAAATGTGTCAGGAAGCAGATTAGCCGACCCTCCCGCCTGTTTCTCCCCCAGCCCCACGCCTCACCTGGAGTGGGAGCGGAAGGACGGCGACCTCTCTGACGCAAGGGCCTCGCTGCAGAGCTTCGGGAAGCTGCTGCGCATCGAGAACGTGGTGGAGAGCGACGATGGGGAGTACCAGTGCACGGCCAGCAACGACCAGGGCAAGGCAACACACATCTTCACCGTCACCGTGCAGGGTAATGACTCTCACTCGGGGCAATAACTCCCCCACTGGGCAGTACTCTCACTCGGGGTAATAACTCTCACTGGGCAATACTCTCACTTGGGGTAATAACTCCCTCACTGGGCAGTACTCTCATTTGGGGTAATAACTCCCTCGCTGGGCAGTACTCTCACTCGGGGTAATAACTCCCTCACTGGGCAGTACTCTCACTCGGGGTAATAACTCTCACTGGGCAATACTCTCACT